TTTTTTTTTTTTTTTCTCTACAATGCACTGAGTCTAGTCTTGTTAATGTGACATATAAATAAACCCAAGTTTTAGATGACATGGATAAAACTATGTAAAATTAACAAAATCTACTCCAATGCAAAGAGACTATGTCTCTACTTGGGTCTAAAATGGACTTAAGGGTAGACTGACTCTCTTTTTCTGGCTGCACATCAGCAGGACCTAGTCTACTTTTATTTGCATGGAGGATATATTTTTTTAGAGTGAGTCTATTTCTTATGTGACATTTATATTTTTGTGGTTGAACCCAAACATTGTGGATCACTACAAGAAAATGATGGAATTCCAACGGAAATATATTTCAAAAGAATTATTCCAATGGCAATTCCAACGAATATTTCAATACTATTATTTCCGTTGAAATTTTTCAATGGATTCCAACGGAAATTCCAACGAAAATATTCCGTTGGAATGGGTTTTCCATTGGAATTTCCGTTGAATTTTGACGATTCCAACAGTGGATTTTCCAACGGGGGTGAAAAAAAAAATTCCAACGGAATTTGCATATTCCAACAGAAATTCCTACGGTAAAAAGCCGTTGGAAATATAGCCGTTGGAATCATCAAATTCCATCTAAAATTCCAATGAAAAACACATTCCAACGGAATATTTTCGTTGGAATTTCTGTTGGAACTATTTCAACGGAAGGTATTCCATTGGAATATCCGTTGGAATTTCTATTGGAATATATTACCATAGGATTTTCCGTTGGAATATAACATTTATTTTGTAGTGGATGCTCGTGTTAAAATGAGTCATTTTGAATAAAGTTAGTTGAGTGGGACAGTGGGTCGAGAGACATTGTGATCAAACAATATTTAAAATAAAATGATTAAAGTTGATTTCATTTAAAAGTGGGAAAAATATGATTGGAAGTGATAGATAGTTGAAATATGTGACTGGATGAATAGTAAATTAAAGTTGATGTGATGTAGGAACTAGATGATTGTACTAATTAATTATATTAATATATTGGAGATAGTGTTGGGAAAAATACGCTGAAATTTCCATGAAGTCGGATCTATAAAAGTGAAATAAAAGCGAAAAATTGGACACACCAAATTGATAACGGAGTTCGGCCAATAATGCCTACGTCTCCGGACTACTGCAGATAGTTTATTAAAGAAAAAGAAAACACTCGTGTTTACAGAACACTCACAAACTCACTCACAACTCACAACACAAATACACACAGAAGCTAAGACTTTCGCTCCGTGTTCCCTCTCTTTTTCTCTCTTTCTCTCTTGTGTTTCTGTATTTTATTGTGTTTTCATCATCAGAATCCCCCCTCAATTTATAGAGGGGGAAGTGTACATTTTCTCCACAAATGCGTGCTCAATTTTTCAACAAAAGGCAGC